GGTGCCCTGGTCACTCTTAGTGTCCCTGGTCACTCTTGGGGTGCTCTGGTCACCCTTTGTGACATCTTTGAGGTGCCCTGGTCACTCTTGGGGGTCAACTTTGGGGTGCCGTGGTCACCCTTTGGGTGCCCCTGATCACCCCTGGATCACCCTTGCGGTGCCCTGGTCACTCTTGGGGTGCTTTGGTCACCTTTGGGGTGCTCTGGTCACTCTTGGGACATCTTTGGGGTGCCGTGGTCACCCCTGGGTTACCCTGATCACCCCTGGAGCACCCTTTGGGGTGTCCTGGTCACCTTTGGGGTGCCCTGGTCACTCTTGGGGGTTCCTGGTCACTCTCAGGACATCTTTGGGATGCTCTCCCACACCACCCTCAGGGTGCCATGGTTATTTTTGGGGTGCCCCGGTTATTTTTGGGGTGCCCTGGCCACTTTTGAAGTGTTCTGCTCACTTTTTGGGGTATCCTGATCACCCCTGGGACATCTTTGGGATGTCCCGGTCACCTTTGGGTGCCCTCAGTCCCTGATGGAAATGTCCCTGAGGGTGGAGGGGACACGGGACAATCCCGTGGGATCCTTCCCGGGATTCCCCAGACACCGGGACACCCCCGAACCCTCCCGGCGGGACAATCCCGGGGGCTCGGGGACGAAACTCCCGCGCCCCGAATTTCACGGATTCGCCTCCGCAACCCCCGGGGGAAGCCCCGCCCCGCTTCCCCGACCCCCGAGGCGACCCCGCGGGCCCCTCCCCCGCCCCCTCCCCTTCCCCGCCCCTCTCACCGCGCCTCCCCCCGCCTCCGGCAGCCGCAGGCTCAGGCGGAAGCGGCGCCGGCCGTCGGCTGCCGGTTCCACGCTGAGCTGCAGGCGGAGCGCGGCGCCGGCGGCGGGCAGGAGGCGGCAGGGCGCGGCCAGCTCGGCTCGGGCCGCCATCAGCACCGTGGCGGGGGTGGGTGCCGGGCCCGGCCCGGGCGCTCCGGGCGCCGCCATGGCGGCCCCGCCACTTCCGGCCTCCCGCCTTCGCGGTCCCGTGGCGAACGGGGACCCCTCCGGGGGAGCGGCGGGAAACGCGGCCCCGAGCGCGGGAGTTCCGCGACAGGAGAGTTCCGCCTCTGGCCACGCCCATGGCCACGCCCCGGCGCCCGCCAGTGATTGACAGCCGCTCCCCCCGTCTTTGTCCACGCCAGCCAATCAGAGCGCCGAGCGCCCCCGCGGTGGGTGGGGCCGTGTGATCTGCGCTGACTGACGTCGCTCACAGCCAATGAAAGCTGATGGTGGCGGTGATTGACAGGTGTTCTCGCCAATGGGATCGCGGGCCGCGGGCGCCTCTCGGGCGGGGCGGCCGCGGGCGGGGTGTTGCCGCCGTTGTTGCCGTCCGGTGCCGCAGGAGAAGGTCGCCCGCTCACTCGCTCRCTCCGGGGGATTCCCAGCGTCCCGCTCAGCCGCACGCGCCGTCCCGAGCACTCGGGGACATGTCGAGGTGGGCGGAGGCCCGGTGTGCCGGCGCCAGACGGCGGACGGCGGCCGCGGCACACGCGCCCTCCTCGAGCTTTCTCCGAAGACTTCTCCCTTTACACGCGCCCCGAGCGTGAAGGCGCTGCCACRGCGAGAAGGCACCGATAAGGAGCAGGACGCGCCGGTAAGCCCGCTCGGCCCGCCGCCCCCTCTCCTGCGCGCCCAGGGGCCCCTCGGACTACAGCTCCCAGCGTGCCCCGCGCGGCTCAGGCGCGGCCCGGCACCGCGCGCCGCCGCGGGGCAGAATGGGAGCAGTGGTCCAGCAATGGCGGGGCTGGSCCGCCCGCGCGWGGCATGCYGGGAGTTGTAGTTCGCAGTGGGTCTCGCTGAGGCGCCGCGCGGGGCATTCCGGGAGCCGTAGTCCGGCGCGCGGGGCATGGCGGGATAGCACTTCTCGTGCTGCCGCCCGGAACTGGGGGAGGCGTTTCCGCGCCCTTTTTTTCTTCTTTTTTCTCTGCTTTTTTTCTCCTTTTTCTCTTCTTTCTCTATTCCCGCCTCTTCTTCCTCCTCCTCCCTTTCTGCTTCCCCCACTCGGCCTGTCATCATTTCCTCCTTTGCGGTGCTTGTACCACCTCCCCTTGAAGTTCCACTTTCTCTTCCTCCGCCTTTTCCCTTTCCTCCCCTCTTTCCATTTATGGTTTTTTTTTCCTTTTTCCCTTTCCTTTCTCTTTCTTTTTCTCCCACTCTCCCCATTTCAAGTTTCCCCCATCTCTGGAGGTGCCGGGGAGCCCCCAGGGTAGGAAAATCCCCTTTGGGCCCATCCCGGTGCCCCTCACATCCCCCCCATCCCGGGGTCTCTTGAAGCAGCTGCCGCACCGGGAGTTGCACCGGGAATTGCGCCGGGAATTTCCCTGGGAATCGTGCCGGGAATCGTGCCGGGAATCGTGCTGGGAATCGCCCCGGGAGGATGAAGCTGCTGGAAAACTCCAGTTTCGAAGCCATCAACTCCCAGCTGACGGTGGAGACGGGCGACGCCCACATCATCGGCAGGTGAGGGGAGAAAAAAAACAACGGGAAATCTGGGAATTCTGCCGCGGGAAAAGCTCCGGGATCCTGGAATCCACGAGTGCCGCCTGCACAGGGATGGGGAATCCCTCGGGAGGGGAACTCTGTTCTCCTGGGTCCATCCTTTCCAGGAGGAATTGTCCCAATTTCCAGGAAGAATTTTCCCAAATCCCCCCAGTATTTGCACCCCTTTTCCTGCTCAAAATCCTGGGTTTTATCTCATCWTTCTTATTCTGTTTTTTAGCACAAACTGACTTCATTTTCCATCTTTTCAGCTCAATGCTCATCATTTTTAATTAATCGCTCATGTGGGACTTAAAAATATTCCCAAAAGGTGGCTCCGTGGTTTTTTTTTTCCCCGTTGGTATTCTGTGCCCAGAGCTGAAGGTTTCTGTCCTAATCCCCGGGATAAGGAGCAGGGAATGGTCCCAGTCCGTTCCCAGGCTTAAGGGATCCTCAGGATTGGCTGGAGAAGGGGAGAATTTGGGGCTTTGCTTTTCGAGGATCCCCAATTCCAGGGAAAAGGACTTTGGAGCTGATTTAGGGATTTGTCTCTGTGTTTAATGGGATTTTGGAGGGGAGATCCAGCTGGAATCTCCCTGCAGCCTCTGCACCCCAGTTGCTCCCAGTTTGTCCCAGCAGCGTTTGGGATGTCCCAAAGTCTGTCCTGGAGCCGGGGATTCCTTTCTGGAGGCTTTGGAATTGTTCTCCTTTGGGAGGGGGTGGGAATTGAGGAATGTCAGAGATGGGCTTGAAAATTTGTGAGGGGCTGGGGGAGTTTGGGGGGGTTCCCTGGGGGTCCCTGGAATTCCGGAGGGGTTTGGGATGGGAAAGCCCCCCAGGATGATCCCATGGGCTGGGACAACTCC